AAACCATGGGGCTCCATTCATGTCCTAGAGAGTGGAAGAGGCAAGAGCAAGTGTGTCTGAAGGACCTAAGGACAGAACAGCCTCTGATGTCTGAAGCCAGGCTGCAGCCAACAAGGTGGGTAAGAGGAGGGACTGACAGCACTGTGAGTATGGCCCTGACTGGAAGGATGAGAGGGAAGTCTCTGCTTTTCAACAGGTTCTTCTAGCTGGCCTCAGTTTGATGAGACCTGCAGAAGAGATTGGCCTTATATCCATCTTGGGACTGGGCAGGTGTCACATTCCCTGGACTAATAGGGTATGTGTGCAGGGAAAGGGTTGTACTCAGGCCTGTGATTTTTAACATTATTTAACTTAGTCCATCAATCCACCCTTCCATTCTGTCCATCTTCCACCCGTCCATCCATGCATGCATGCATCCATCCATCCACCCACCCACCGACCCACTCATTCTTCCAGTCAGCTAGCCAGCTATTCACTAATAAGATGCAGAGAAACTGAAATATAGTATCTTCTGAAGAAGGAAGTGGGAGAGGTCAGTTTAACACCCACTGTATGCAGCTAAGAGGTGAAAATAGATGAGCAGGGTTGGGACCATAGGTCTGTTATATAAGGGCAATGGTCATTCTTCACACTCTTTGTCAATCTCCTGTCCTTCTGTGGGAGACCGGTGCATGGGGTTTACTAAATATTTACACTGTGGTGAGACAAGGACATGCAATCCATGATCCCTGTTGTTAGGTAGATTTGCAGTCCAGCTGGAGAGCTAAGCAATAAACTTTTGACAAGATAATTAAAAAGACCAGATTTTCCAATCTGTGGGCCAAGGGAATATTGGAGAAAATGCAGGTGAATAATCTCCTTCAGCAAGAAAATAAATCTCTAGAACTGAAAGGACCTTGATCATGACTGCATAGTGCCCCTCCAAGGAGAGAAATCTGTGCCATGGCATCCCTGAGAAATAGATTAGTCAGACTCTGCCTCAGTGTCTCCAGATTCAAACACCTCACCACCCCTCAAAGAAACCCTAACAATGTGTATAGTTCTTGTGGTTACCATTTTGTGGTCACATTTTATTTCCACTCATCAGTTCTGCTCAAGCTTTCTAGAATTATATGGAACTATGTATTCTTTATTTGGAGGTGAAGGATCACTTGAAGGAGGTTCTATTGCTTCTTCAGGAAAAATACCCTCAGTTCCTTGGTCTTAGAGCCCTCTCTACTTTTCAGGACACATGAGTAGCCCTCAATTTCTAAATACAGGCACCAATTCCAAACAATGTGGGTAATGTACCTATGTTAGAAACAGGCCCAAGCTAGGGCTTTTATTGAAAGTGCAGAGATCTAAAACTATGAGATCTTTCTCACTTGAACAGTCAAGACACCAGTACCCATAGCCGCCATCTTCCTAGTGGTAAAATTTCATATTCCTCCCTTTTCTGTTGATTCATGTGAACTCACCTCTACTAAAACCTTTTTTTTAAAAAAAATATTTATTTATTTATGCATACAAAAGCTGAGATACAGCCAGATACAGCTGTGTACAGGCCAGAGATGCAGGGGGTGAGAGGATCCACCAGAGACAGAGTGGGGAACAGAACAGGCAGACTGACTGAAATACACAGCTGAGGGGAGCAGCGGGCGGGACAGGAGAGGTCTGCCTCACCATGTGGGTTGCTCCCTGGCCGGCTGGGGATCGAACTCATGCTGCACAGGCTGTGGATGGCTTGATAGTGAGGTGCTTAACCCCTTGCATCACCAGGCAGTCCCCTCTACTAAAACCTGTTTGAGTTCTATTATCCCACAAATGATGAAACAATAACTGCAGAATGGATGTGGGTTCTAGAATAAGGTGGAATTTCAACTGTTCCCAAAAGGTGGAACCATTTCGATGGGTGGAGGAGAGAGAAAGAATATTCCAGGGTGAAGAAATAGTTTCCATTGGAATTCCATTGGAATCCAATAAATGGATACCAATTATTTGCCAAACATTATGCTCAGTGATTAGAAACAAAATGATGCAGCCCTGACCTTGAGATCACTTTAGGGGCAATCAACCCAAGTCAATTTACTACAGTGCAAGGAAGTCAGCATATGGGTGTATGCCAGGCACTGACAAACAAGTGACCAGAGATCTCAACTCAGCAAAGACTTCTTGGAAGAGATGACATCTTTGCAGAGAAGATGCATGAAAAGCCAACAAGCAAAGGGAGAAATATGAGATTGGCTGAATCGGAAGGCAAAGAGACTATGAACTGGGTGTATAGAACTAACATGGAACTGAAGCCCATTTTCTCTGCAGAGTGGCCGGTGGTCGAAACTATACTGTCTGTGGACTTCAGCTGCATCTGGGCTGGAACTGCTGAGGTCCATGGGCAGCCCCTTCTAGTCTAGCCACATCCTTGCTTATCCCTTGGCAGAATCTAGACCTGCCAAGCTGGCCTGACTGGTGAGGTATAGGTGGAACACATGGAGCTCAGATTAGGGCCCCTCCTATGGCTTCTGTTCTCATCCCTCAGGATTACGATCGCAACCTTATTATCACAGTCCCCATACGAATGATGGGGGCTGCAGTGGCAGCGAGATCTAACCCTTGTGGGAAGAAAGAATATTCAACAAATTTATTTATTTTTTATTTTTTTAAAGATTTATTTATACTAGAACCGGGGTACAAGCCAGATGTGTGGGAGGGTGAGAGGATTCACCAGAGACAGCGGGGGAAAGAACAGGCAGACTGATGAAATACACTGCTGAGGGGAGCAGCAGGCGAGACAGGAGAAGTCTTTGGGGCCATGTGGGGCCCTCACCGGCCGGCCAGGATCTAACTGGCGCTGCAGAGGCTGCTGACAGCTTCACAGCGCTGCGCTCAACCGCCTGAGCCACCAGGGGAGGCCCTATTCAACGCATTTAATCTGATCCACTTTAAATGGAATATTTGGGAAAATGAAAGGACAGATGTTCATTTTGGGAAGGAAAATTAAAATGTTAGAGAATATTGTAATCATAATAAAATAAATGAATTTATTTCTCTTTACTTGTATGTTAGTTATCTATTGCTATTTAACAAATAACCCCAGAACTTAAAAACTTAAAGTGACAAACATTTATTATGACACACAGTTTGTGGGGCTTGAGGATCTGGAGCAGCTTCACTAGGCGGTGCTGGTCAGAGTCTCTCATTAGGTTGCAGTCAAGCTGTTGGCCAGGCCGCATCATCTGAAGGCCTGACTGGGGCTGGAGGAGCTGCTTCCCAAATTACTCACATGTTTGTTGGCAAAAAAAAAAAAAAAAAAGGTTCATTTTTCACCACTACTGGGCTGCTCACAACAAGGCAGAGTACGTGAACAAAGAGGTATGGGCAAGCTGAGATCAAAATAGAAGCTGAGACTTTTATAATGTAATTTCAGAAATGGCATAACACTTATGCCACAGTCTATGTGTCACAGAGACATTCTGTTATATGGGGGGGCAGGAGAGGTGAATGCCAAGAGATTGCTTGTTGGCATCTGCATCATTTTCCTCTAGTTGCCATACCAATTACCACACACTTAGTGGCTTAAAAGAACAGAAATACACTCTCGCAAAAGTTCAAGAGACAAGGTCATGCTCTCTGCAAAGGCCCTGGGGAGGAACTCGTCCTCTGTCTTTGTAACTTCTGGTGGTGCCTCAATCATTCTTTGTCTTGTTGCCACATAACTCCAGTCTTTGCTTCCATCCTCATGTCACCTTCTTCTCTCTGTGTGTCTGTGTGTCCTCTTCTTACAGTCAGCGAACATCAGTCAAGAACATCAGTCATACTGGACTTAGGGTCCACACTGGTGCAGCCGACCTCTTCTTAACAAATTGCATCTACAAAGACCTATCTCCAAATGATGCCGTAGTCTAGGTTTCCAGAAGGACATGAATTTGGGGGAAACATTATTCAACCAGTACAGCAGCCCCTTTGGAGTTTGGATCTCACCATTGATCTTGGGGAGACTGTGACCACTCTGGGTGGAGCACAGGGTTTTTTTCCTGTAAGTTCCTTCCACAGGAGATTTCAGCCATGCTAACCCAACATACACTCCTTCACAGCTTCGCTGAGATCTGTTTTCTGACTCTTGCTGCCACCAACTAGCAAGCAGAACTCAATTCAATACAAATTTCACTCTGGGGAAGTGCAAGCTGAAAACAATCATAAATAATGTCCACTCTGCTACCTCAAAGTTGTTGTACCTTATTTCTACAATCCATCTTCATTGTAGAAAAATTAGAAAACACAGATAAATGAATACAACAAAAAGAAAAATCACCTATAATACCACCACCTTGCCATTACTATAATAGAAGTAAACTTTCAGACATTTTTTTAATGCAGAAGTATTTAGATAAGTATTTTTTTAATTAAAAAGAAATGACAAACTATGCTGCTTTATAACTTGCTCTTTTCTCATAATATATCATGAGTATCTTTCCATTTGAATGGAGATGAGAAGCTTGGATTTTAATTGTATCTCAGGTTTCAAAATATCCGGCATATCCTGTCCATCTCGTGACTTCTGAACTGGAGCTCTCTCCTCTAATATGGCCATGAAGAAAGAGGTGAGGAAAAAGCAGCATTTGACAGCAGTGGGATGAAAGACAAGAGGAGGGAACTGGTCTTGGGTCCCCAAAGCTGTGACCATATTCCTCTTTGCACAGCGGTGAGTGACCAAGTGTCACGTGGGCAGTTGGTGGCCCCAATAGGTCAGTTGGGGACAAGCTGGTCTGCCTGGCTCAGGGACACTGGGAAAGCCACCTCCAAGGATTTCTTCCATTCCTCCTCACCATGAGCCCTCAGCAGTCTTCTTATGTGACTCTCAGTTTATCTGGTGTGGTTTCAGCAAGGGTCCACATCAGCAGCACCACCCAACAGCAACGGAAATTGTGGACTGAGCCCCAAATTTCAAAAGGATTTACCCAAACTGGGAATGAAGAGAAGGGAGAGTGGCCGTGTGCCCAGGAAGTGACAGGCAGGGGCCCTGGGAGCTGGCCCTGCACAGGGAGCTTTTGGGGGGCATCCTCCCTAGTCACACTGCTGGAAATAGAAGTCCGTGATGGGGTCATCCCAACCGGCATCCTCAGGGAGCTGGGTGAGTCTGAGAGGCTGGTCTGCCTCGGGCACCGTGCAGAGGAACCAGCCTGGGTAGGCAGCCGACTCGAAGCTGGAGGTGAGCCCTGTGTCCCGCCGGTAGAAAGTGAAGCTCTTGGCTTCCTTGGCACCAAGGTAGAGCTCCATGATGTTCACTGGCTGAGAGCAGAGGGGCACAACAGGTGAGAGGCAGGAAAAGGGACGCAAGGAGGCGGGGCTGAGGGCATTGCAGTCAACAGAGCCCTGCATGGGCGCAGGACATGCAGCCTCCATGGGTCAGCATCTGTTGCCAGATGGTGAGGATGTCCCACCAGGACTCACCTCCAGTTTCAGAGTGGGTTCCTGCTCCATCTCACACGACAGGCACTGGCTCCCTCCCTGGACACCCAGGATGACTGGAGAGAGGTTGGCATCCAGAAACCGATTGGGGACAACACTGATCTCCTCACCTAGAGGAAGGAGGCTGGATGCAGGGGCCATGGCTGTCCCTCCTTCTATCTCCCTCAATTATGGACTTTGGTAGGTGACATACCCTGTCCCCTAGCTGGGCATCCTCAGGCAGCTATCGTCAAGGAACAGCACACACGCTTGTGTGCATGTGAGAGAACAAATGTGCACACACATATACACACAGCCACACAGAAGGATCTGCCCGACCCCAGCTCTCAGGAAACATGTCCCAGGTGGGCAGGTGTGTGTCTGTTTCAGAGAGAGGGTTCTGGTATGGTACGGGGGTGCAGAGTGAGCAAACTTGAAGCAGATGCTGTCCCTGCTGTCTGGGTCTCCACTCTGAGCCACCAGAACCCCCAGAAAGTAGAAGGATCTGTGCATTAAGGGGCAGAACCCACTCCCATGTGGAAGAAGGCATAGAGAACCTTCCTTAGTTTTCTCCACAGCACTGACTGCAGGAAAAGGAATGATTTACCTGAGTCCACCTTTGAGCTGATGACAAAGTGCTCAGCTTGGGCACATCCCCATCTCTGCGCTGGACCACATCCCCTCAGTTTGCAGGAAGGTGGAGCACTTTATTTGTCCTTACTCAGAAACTGGTTTTCTGAGGGCCCATAAGATCCCAGGCCTGGGATCTGTGCCAATTTGCATGAATATTCTAAGCCCCCTTCAGGCCCTTCTTGAAGTGTAAGGAGACCTAGGAATGCAGACTTTTGTTTTGCTACCAACCTTTAATGACCTTCCCTGCTTGCAGCCCTCCGGCTAGAAGCTGGTTATCATGCAGATAAAGCACCTTCAGTGCAGCATCCTTCATTCTGAAACACCAGGAAGGGGTGTGACAACACTCAGTTAGGGGAGAGGTGGGTGTTCCAGCTTCTCCTGGCTCTGGAGAATCCTCCAATCTCAGGCACTGGCTCTGTCTCCTCCCACTGTGCCAGAAAATAGCACAACCTTTTCTCCTAAGCCTCCTCGCACCCTACCAATGGGATGACCCCCAGCCTCCATCTGAGTTGGGCGTAGCTGCTTTACCCTATTCAGTCCCTCTGCATATCAACCAGGCTCCTCCATGCGTACATCAGAAAAGAAACTGGGTTCTGAGGTCTCTTTGGACCCCCCCGGAAATGCAAAGAGACCAGGGTCCTGGGTCCTAATCTGATTCTGCCACCATCACCGCTAACTCAGCAGACAGCCATGTGCCCTGCCCTCTGGGTCTGAGTGTCACCATGGCTAAGTACAGACGGTGGGTTCAATAGCATTCAGGTCTGTTCCAGATCAAAAACTAATTCTTCATTATTATTGAACATCAAGTTGCATTTGCTTCTGTTTGGCCACCACATATTTCCTATTGAGTCAGGAATTTCTTTAAATTTAAAATTCTTTCATTGATTTTTCAAGTGTATTTTGATCTCTACTTTCAGTTGATTTTCTGACGTCCTCTGAGGTGAAAGATGTATCCTAAAGTGAGTTTCTCTAGATAGCAAATGGAAAACATAATCTGTGTACAAATTGCTTTCGTGTTCACCAAAAACATAGTGCTGAGTTGCACTGTGGTTCTTTTATAAGGAAACATAGAAAGAAGTACAGCTGAACCTTGAATAACTCAGAGGTTAGGGGTACTGAACCCCCAGTCAAAAATCCATATAGAGGGCCTCCCCCGTGGCACAGTGGTTGAGCACTGGGTTGCGAAGCTGCCTGCAGCCCCTGCAGCGCTGGTTCTATCCCCGGCTGCTCCCCAGCCACCGGAGGAGGGTCCCACATGGCGCGCAGACCTCTCCTGCCGCCCGCTGCTCCCCTCAGCAGTGTGCTTCGGTCCTTCTGCCTGCTCTGCTCCCCACTATGGCTCTGGTGAATTCTCTCACCCTCCCATGCTTCTGACTGTACCCAGTGCTTGCATAAATAAAGGAATAATAAATAAATAAATAAATCTTTTTTTAAAAAAAAATCCATATATAACTTTAAATTCCCTTAAAACTTCACTAAGAGCCTGCTGTTGACAGAAGCATTACTGATAATGTAAACACTTGATTAGCAAAGATCTTATATATGTATTTCTATGCTGTATCTTTACACTAAAGTAAACTAGAGAAAAGAAGAGTTATTAAGAAAATCATAATGCAGACAAAACACGTTCACATTCACATTCACATTCACTCTACTGGATTTATGGATACTGACGTTTACATCATCTGTTTATAAGAAAACCCACATTTAAGTGAACCCTCGCCAGTCAAATTCATGCTGTTATAGGATTAACTCTATTTTTCACTTTACTTGATCAAGTCCTGCCATTGTACAAAGCAATTTGAGGGACTGGGCTTCCACAGAACATTTTTTGGGAAAAGTTACATTTGTTTTGGGAAAAAACTATATGAGTTCGATGAGAACAAGGCCTGTTCTGGTTCACTGTTGCAAAGTCTGAGTGTCCAGCTCAGTCAGCACCAGTGGACAGACAGAATGACTAAGTAGTTTTGTCTATGTTTTGCCCCAGAGGGCAGCCAGGAGGCAGTGGGGCCGATGGCTGGACTGGTATCGGGTCACTGATGGGTGGGGACAGCAGGCTCCAGGTCTGGCCTCCTGACTTCCATTCTCATTGTGGAGACAGGGTTGCAGCTCTACACTGGGGGGTCACTTGTCCCCCTTCAGATCTGGAGGCCCCCAGGAGTAGGCCTCCCCCGCCTCTGAAGAAGGCTGGGAGGACTTCTCTGAAAGCAGAGAGGTGCTAGCCACAGCTTCCCCGGAGCCCATCCAGCTGTCAGCGCCGCAGCTTGGCCATCGCATCCCCTCCATCCCTGGAAAGGCAGGACACCAGTTTCCCCCAGCTCACTTCCCCAGAGGAGTTGGCCAAGTCAAAAGCTCAGACAGTCAGGATACTCACCTGAAGCACAGAGCGCCGCTCAGGACCATCATGAGCTCCCAGACTGCAGACTCTCCTATTTTAAAAGAAGAGAAAATCTTAGGTGGAGACTGAGGCTGAGCTTCAGGGGCCTGAGGGGCAAGCAGCCTCGTGAGCAGGCCCCAGCCCCCCGTGCGTGAACGGCTTCTACAGAGCAGGTGGTTCTAGGTTTGGGGTCAGGAGGACGACACCCAGCTCCCCAAAGGACACCTCAGAATGCTCCTTTCTCCTGGCTGCTGTGGTGTCTGCCTGCTCCTCTGAAGATGTCTCACCTCTTTTAATAATGATTGCCTTAGGGAGGGGCCCTGAAACTGCACAACCCGGGAGGAGCAGGGTTTCCCAGTGATTGCACACCAGTCCAAGCCTCCAGAAACACCTGCTGCTCATTATCTCTCTCAGGGAGGGAAGCTTCTGGTGACAGTCTCCTTCCAGCAATTCTGAAGAACTTCCAGGGACTTTCCAGCTCTACGTGAATACTCAGTTCCCGGGCCTCAGAGCTTCCAGACCCAGGGGCTCAGCACAAGGAGCTCAAGGGAAGCAGATTTGAGAACAACCTCCTCCTGCCTCCCTCCTTTCTTCTTACTTCCTTCTCCCCTCCCTCTCTCCCTTCCTCCACTCTTACCTCTCCCGTTTTCTCCCCTCCCTCCCTTACATCCTTTCGCCTTTCTAGGCCTATAGAGACGGAGGTGCAGTTTGGCTCAGGAGATGTCTAGTCTATGTATTCATTGTAGAAAAACCTGAAAATCCACATCAGCCAAAAATAATACCTGTGATCAGAAAGTCAATGAGAACTCTTCTTCTTCCTTGCCCATACACACACCATCAGCAGTTTTTCAACAGCTCCACATGGAAGCTAAATTCTTTCCAACCTGCTTTTTTCAGACAGCAAAATATCTTTCCATGCCAAACATCAATAACAATATCATAACAATGAACAGTATACAGCTGTGCAGTATTTCATGATAAAATGCAGCATTTTATACTTATAACAATCAATTATTATTGGTCCTTTCTAGTATTATTATCTGCTATGGGAAATCAAGTTGTGAAAATATCTTTATATCGACATCTTTGTTCATGTGTTTGATTATTTCCTTAAAAAATAAAAATCTAGCTCGGACCATCTATGACTGATCTTTCCTCAGAACTTAATTGGTAAATTAATATGTGATCATGAAACAATTCATGCAGTTTTAATACCTTCACACACTCTCTGTGAAGAATCTAAATTAAAAGTAAGGGTCAGTGCCTCACAAACAATTTAATTACATACCATTGATAGCGATTCACTGTCAGAGCATAGACTGTAAAATATTGTGTGCAGGCTTATGAGCTAAAAAGTTCTTAAAATGCTTGAGAATAAATAAAATATCAAGTCATTCATAGGATAGAAAATAACCCATCACTCACATAACGCCACATAATGCAATCTGATAAAAACCTTTTAGAAAAATGAACTGTACTGCTACCTTGGGCAAAATCATCAAATTGAAAATAAAATGACCAAAGAGGAATGGCCCTGAAATAACTGCAAAAAGACAAAAACAAAGAAAGAGAAACTCTGGAAACAGTTGGCCAACAGGCAAAATGGTTTTTTCCCTGATTCCCTGACCCAAGGGAATTACAACCTTATGCCCCCAGACACTAAAACTCACAGGCCTCATAAAGCTCGTATCTGCCCAATAATGAGCAATGTCTATGCATGGCCCATGCCCAGAGGTCACCAGCCCCCAAGAGGTGAGGGGAGGTAGTGCATCTCCCCGCTTCCTCTATTCTGCAATGTGCTCCCCTGCTGACTGCATGTGTTTTCAAGGTCACACAGAACATGGTTAAACAGGTTCCCCTGCATTACTCCCAGGAAGCACAGACCTTTGTTTGGTTTGTTAGTTACTATGGATTAGATCCCAGGCTCCATGCAGTCAGATGTATACTAAGAGAAGATTGATAAATCACAAATTATTTCTGCCTGAAAGAAAAGAAGAGACAGCCCCAAAGGGTAGAGTTTTACTGCCTTACAATTCAGTAAATGGTTGTGTGTGTGTGATTGTGCATGTGCGTGTGTGCGTGTGTGTGTGTGTGTGCGTGTGTGTGTGTTTAAGATTCTGTTAGCCAACTTATTCCACCATTTCTTTCCTGACTGGTCATATAATCTTCTGTTCCTTGACTTACCATTTGAAGCCACTTTTTCCATCCTGCTGAGGTTCCACTTACAGTCAGGGCTAAATCCTTCATGCACATTGCCAATACGTTGCTTTGAGAGTCCTGTTTTGGGCTTTTTAAAAATTACCCCAAGGGCCATGTCATTTTGCTCCAAAGTGACACTCCATGTGTGGTGCCTTTAAAATGCATCCATAAATTCTTTAATAATCTTTCCTTTAAGAGATGGGGCTTAATACTCCTTCATGTGAACGTGGGCTGGGCCTTGGGACTTGCTTCTAGTGAATATTTCATGTGATGGAAGTGACACTGTGTCACTTGTGAGGTTTGAGCATAAAAGTCATTAAAGTTTGCTCTTAGATCTTTCTGATATTGTTATAGGACAGGGAGAGGGTCAGCCCAAACCCCGCAAACCTGCCTATTCTAAATGGGTTCTGCCATCCGCCGCATCAACACAAAACATATGAGACTTTAATGGGAAGGATCTTTAATAAAAACTAGGAAACAATACAGGTGAGGCAAAGAGTCTAGTTTCTAAATGAAGCACCCAAAGTTACCCGTCCCCTCGTGGGTAAAAGTCCATCCATATGGGATCGGCCCAGAGCAAGGCCCCAAAGTCTACCACAAGTCTAAAACATCTTCCAGTGGGGACCCACAGAAAAGGGTCACAAACAACTGGACAAGCCCGGAAGGAAAAGAGCAAAATCAACATCAAGATAAAAGCTGCCATTGTCACCTCCCCACGGGTCTCACCCACATCTGTGTCACCTAGTCCACGACCAAAAGACAAGCGCAGTTTCTTCACGTGTCTCTAGGCTCCATGTGCCTCCTCCAGGTCTCCTTGCTCCATCCTGCTTCCTTCCTTAGTCTCTTCTGCAGCTTCTTCTCTCCCTGCTCAGCTCCACCCTTCCTTGGGTGGGGCAGGGAAGCTGGAACCTCCCCCTTTCCTGGGGACCACCCTGTTACAATATCACTCCTCAGGAGGACCTCAGCTGCCATGTCAAGAGGACACTCAAGCAGCTTATGGAGAGCCAAAGTGGTGAGGAACTGAGGCCTCCTGCCAATAGCTATGGCAATGAGCCATCTTAGACCCTCCTGCTCTGGTCAAGCTCCAAATGAGGCAGCCCAGGCTGAGGTCTTGACTGCAAGCTCACAAAGACCCCAAACCAGCCACACACCTAATGCCATTTTTCTTTTTTTTTTTTTTTTTTTTGAAAAAGCTGCACTTGATTTTTATTTATTTTTTTTATTTATTTTTATTTATTTATTTATTTATTTATTTTTAATTAATAAATTTTATTTTTATATTCCCCATACAATTGCAATCCCCCCATTCTGACCCCAATCCCTCCCCTCCCGCCCCCCACCCCCAAAAAGTGTCTCTGGTTCATAGTTTTTGTTGATTTTGATTTTCACTTTCTTATAGTTATTCATTTTCCTGGTCCCTTATTTAAGTTTTCTAGATCCCTGCTATGAGTGAGACCATCCGGTATTTTTCTTTTTCTTTTTGGCTTATTTCACTGAGCATGATCCCTTCCAGCGTCATCCATGTTGCTGCAAATTGCATGTGTTTATCTTTTTTGAATGCTGAGTAATATTCCATGGTATATATGTACCACATCTTCTTGATCCAGTCATCTATTTTTGGGCATTTGGGCTGTTTCCAAAGCTTAGCTATTGTAAACAGTGCTGCTATAAACATAGGGGTGCAGGTGTTCTTTGGAATTGATGTTTCTGTGTTCTTTGGGTAAATACCTAGGAGTGGAATTGCTGGATCCTGTGGAAGCTCTATGTTTAGTAGGTCCAGAAATCTCCACACAGCTCTCCATAATGGTTGGACCAGTTTGCACTCCCACCAACAGTGCAGAAGAGTTCCTTTTTCTCCACAACCTCGCCAACATTTGTTGTTGCTAGTTTTTTTAATATGTGCCATTCTCACTGGTGTAAGATGGTATCTCATGGTAGTTTTGATTTGCATTTCCCTGATTGCAAGTGATGTTGAACATTTTTTCATATGCCTGTTGGCCATTCGCATTTCCTCTTCAGAGAAGTTTCTTTTTAGTTCCTCTGTCCATTTTTTGACTGGATTATTTTCTTTGTTGTTGTTGAGTCTCATCAGCTCTTTGCAGATTTTTGTGATCAGTCCTTTATCATTAGTGTTGGGTGCAAAAATTTTCTCCCAGTTGGTGGGGTTTCTCTTTGTTTTTGTTATTGTCTCTTTTGCTGTGCAGAAGCTCTTTAATTTGATGTAGTCCCAGCTGTTGATCTTTGCCTTCACTATCACTGCTTTGGGTGATGTGTCTGTAAAGATGTCTTTGATATGCAAATCACGTAGTGTTTCGCCTATGTTTCCTTCTATGTATTTTATGGTTTCAGGTCTTATGTCTAGTTCTTTAATCCATTTTGAGTTGATTTTTGTATATGGTGTGAGGTAGTGGTTAAGCTTCATTCTTTTGCATGTAGGGACCCAGTTTTCCCAGCACCATTTATTGAACAAACTTTCTTTGCTCCAATGCATAGTCTTTGCTCCTTTGTCAAAGATTAGTTGACCATAAATCTGTGGGTTTATTTCTGGATTTTCTATTCGATTCCATTGGTCTGTATGTCTGTTCTTGTTCCAATACCATGCAGTTTTGATGATTATGGCTTTGTAGTAGAGTTTGAAGTCTGGGAGTGTGATGCCTCCATTCCCTTCTTTTTTTTTTCAGGAGAGCTTTGGCTATTCGGGGTTTTTTGTGATTCCATATGAATTTCATCAATAATTGTTCTATTTCTTTGAAGAATGCCATTGAAATTTTGATTGGAATAGCATTGAATCTGTATATTGCTTTTGGTAGGATGGCCATTTTAATAATGTTTATTCTTCCAATCCATGAGCAGGGGATGTCTTTCCATTTCTTTGTGTCTTCTTCTATTTCTTTTAACAGTGTTTTATAGTTTTCTTCGTATAGGTCCTTTACCTCTTTTGTTAGATTTATTCCCAAATATTTGATTTTTTTTGTTTCAATAATAAAAGGGATGGTTTTTTTGATTTCTTCTTCTTCAGATTTATTGTTTGTATATAGGAAGGCTACTGACTTTTGCGTGTTGATTT